ACACACACACACACACACACACACACACACACAAACGTGTACACATATACAAACACATACGGACATACGCACGCACATACGCACGCCCACCCACTCACCCATAATTACACCTACCTTGACCCTGTGTAGTTTCTACGTTAAATACTTGTTTTAGTTTACGCAGTGTCCATAGACGAGGTAAGCTAATGCTACAACAAACCAAGATCAACAAAGCTTAATTTGTTAGAAAAGTGTGTCTGGTACTGTCTCTTAAGTTGCACGTCTTGTCTGAATACATGTACAAGGCTAGATAGCTGGGTTTGCTGAAATTTAAGTCGACACCCTCTCCCATTCCCATATTACATGTAGCTAAAATGGACTTGAATGCAGCACGACCTAACGTGGTTCCATGAAGAATCGAGACCCTGGTAGTGTGCACCGGGTCAATTAATAATACGGGGTGCCCACTACGGCTGGATCGGGCCGATCGCCCGACTCGATCGCCTGAAACTGAAAACAAACATGTTTGTGTTTGAGGCGATCGAGTCGGGCGATCGGCCTCGTAGTGGGCACACCGTATAAGATTCAAATGGGAGGGGGGAGGGGAGGCTAAAATTTACTTTTGCTCTTTATTTAAGTTTTTACTTTAATTTGGGCCTTTCTCACAGAGCAAGACCTTGTGCTTGAGATCCTAGACAATGAGAACTCAAGTGTCATTGATGGTCATGAGCAATGGTCAGAGAAGCTTGGCGTGTTTCGAGAGCATTGTCTCTCGAGGCTGGAAACAAAGCGGTTCAGCCAAATCCTGCTGGAGAAGGGGTTGCTAAGAGACTACCATGTGCAACAGGTTGGAATCATATTACTGTCATTCGTAATTTATTCGAGTTGCCTGTACTGTTGTTATTAATGTTGTTGTTCTCGTTGTCGTTTTTGTTATGGGCTTACTAGTATCTCATCTGGCGTCGTGGTGACCTTGTAAGCTGATGACCCTGGTTTGAATCTTCTCCAGGCTGTTCTTAAACGTCATTTTTTTGACGGGGTTTTAGTGCTTGACACTCATTTGACTTGTCCTATCGGAGCTATTGGTTAAATTTGGAGGTACCCGAATCCTAGTGACCTAATAGTGTTCGTTGGAGCTTGTTTTACTGTTGTTGTTGTTGCTGTTGTCATTACTGCTGTTTTTATGGTGGTTGCTTTCGTCATATTGGAGCGCGCGGGGGGGGGGAATCCACGAAGCCTAAGCCCAAAAGAATGGTTGGCTACCACCTGTCCTGTTTCTTGTATTTGAAAATTAGGACAATATGACAGACTTGGAGGCGCTTCACCTCTCCATAACTTAAAGGAGCGTGGCCAAGAGACTTATTATGAGACATTGTTTGGTAATTTTGAAATCACACAATATGTATGGCATTGTGGTGAAATCAAGCGCTTGCCAAACTAACAAAATCGAAGAATTCGACGTTTTGTTCCTCCTGTTGGGCAATTTTTATCGACTCTTTTGTTTCGGGCTCGACATGTTTTATGTCCTTTTAAAACATAATACGATCCTTGCGAAGAATTTACGGAAAAATATTTACCCAAGGCACACAAAAATTGTAAATATGCAGTTTCTAAGGACACTAGAGCTTTGGAAATCACCAAACTTTGGAGTCTATTTTCTCGATAATTTTACTTCTGTTTCTACTCGAAAAGCTAACTCAAGTTTCCTGAGTGCAACAACGAAGCGCCAAGCCACTACATCTCAGACGCTGGTTTCAATTTTTTTTTAGTCAAACGTTGAATCAGTCGACGATGTCGTCTCTGTCGAACCCATTTCCGTGTAGGAGACCATTAAATGCCCCGCCTTTTGATATGATCTGAAGATCAGTGTGTTTTCGTGGGTGGGGATGGGGAGGGTG